AGAAAAAGTATGTTAATGAGCTTTAGATATTCAGAGATAAGCTGAGTATGCACTTACCATACATTTATTTCTGTCTGAGCTCAGTGTGTACATGAAGATTTCACAAGAAGCTAAAAAAAACCCCCAATTTTCCACCATTTTAGCAAAGGGTGTTAGCATGCTAACATTTTCTAATTAGCATTAAACATAAACTACAGCTGAAGTAGACGGGAAAGTAATTTATTTTGCACAGATACGGTCATAAAAATATTTCAAGTACAATGCAAAGAACAGTGTGAAAGAGCTTTAAATGTATTGTTATATATATATATGTCAAATGTAAATGAATTGTTTTTAAAGGATTTCCTTTCTTTAGCTCTACATGTTTTTTGTTTCACTTCAGTTTCGACAGTTTTTACACATTCAAAAACATGTGGATGGAAAACAACAATAACAAAAGAAGATCAAATTTATGCAAGACTGCAGCTGAAAGGCCTACAGGTGATCTGTCGACCTGCTGCAAAACTGATGTGTTTTCCTAAACTGCAGCTTGTATATGAACATCAAAGTTTGCATTGTATTTTCATAATGCTCAACATTATGAATAATGTTAATTACCAGTCAAAGAGAAAAGAACTAGTCCCTTCTTCCTTCAGACTATGTTCACACTGCTACATTTCAGTTTTAAAATGCAGCTGTTTTGCTACGTTTACACCTGGTGTCCACATTACTCCAGAGTGTTCAAGACATGTATGTTTATAATAAATTTGGTGACAATCCATTCAAAAGTTGTGACATTTCACTTGAAACCACATCATAGCAGCAGTTGATGAAAGCTTAAGGGGATCTCTAGAGTCATGGGGGTTCATCTTCTGGGATTTTTGTGATGGTGGACCAACTGGCAGACTCACAGAGCCAGCCTAGAGACAGCATCATGGTATATTAAATGAGTTCTGATGAAATGTACTGTATGTACTCTCAGTGGAAAAGAAGATAAGAACCTTATTACCATAATAAGCATTTTAAATTTAAATTCAATACAGTGAAAGTGAAACTAAAATGCCTAAGAAAATGAACACAGGCTCCGTTGTTAGAAGGTGGCTCTATCTTATTCGAGACAGTGTGTCGAGTGTTAGTCGATGTCTTCCTCTCTCGGCCCACCTACTGTTACCACCATACTGAGTGAATAGGCTCAGTCATTACTTTGCTTCTGCTGCGCTGTCTGCAGGGTAAAATGAGACAATAGTAAAGATTTTCAACCGGGGGCTTAAATCATTTACACAGCATGGAGCGAGTGTGCTGAAATGAGGCTGCTGATAACACTGGCCTGCAGGAGCAGCAGGTGGTACTGTAACTGGAAAATAATGGGAAGAAAAAGAGACAGATAAGCTCATTACATTGACAAACAGCGTGTTTATGCATGAATAAGACTGTTTAAAATCAGGTCTGAAATGTTCCCCCGGTGCTGATCAAAAGGAGACATCAGACCACATTCTTGAGCTCTGTATGGGAAAAAATGATTGTACTCTAGTTTGTATTCTAGCTGTAATAACCTCTCTCCACGTCCTGCAAATTAAAAGGCAAACGTAATACGTTGTTTGTAAGTGACATTCTGTCTAGCCTTCCAAATGTATTTGGTAATAATAATACAGAATTTTACATATGGCAGAGGTTTGGTCAAGGCACCTTTCAAAAAAGTTGAGAAACTTAAATAAATAAAAGAAAAAGACGAGTCTTTACTCAACATTAAGACTGGCCAGTTGTGTCAGTTTAAGACTTTAAATGCTGAAAATTTGCATTTCTTAACCACTTATTATCCTTATTTGCATAGTGGTTTTTTTTTACAGTGCAGAAAATCAATTTTGTTAGGCTTGGGGAAAAATAATAACTTGGTTAAGAACATAACACTGCTTCCTTCTTTCCCTTCTGACGGACAAGAGTCATAATTCCCACGGCCTCTTTGAACGTCAACATATGTTGTTTTTTGGGGGATTTTCTGAAAGGAGTGATGCTGCAGTTTCTCATGAGAGGAGAGGCTCCAAACCTCCGAGGCATGGCAAGAAATTCTGAGACTCCTGAGAACAACTCCACAGCAGCTTTGACACAATAAATATGTAGGCAAGTCTCAGGTCCCCGTCCAGCTCAGGGGGCTCCTGAATCATTCAGGGTCTCCTTAATTATGCCCCTGATCAGACCAAACACGCCACAGCCCTCTGCATTTTACTTTTAGCTATTAATTTTCCCTCAGGTTATGAAACACAAGTGAGACCAGATTAGCTCCTCTTCTCTTAAATCTCCATTAATCAATATTTCTAATATTAACACTAATTCAACCAGCTTCATGCAATGTGGAAGAACCCACAGAGAATCACCACCCAACTCCCAGACCTTTTACTGAAGTAAAAGTAATAATATGAGCATCAAAATATCTTCAGAGTACCTAAAGTTAAAGTACTCATTATGAAGAATGGCCTTTTCCAAAACAATATATGTTATATTTTTGTATTATAACTTATGATACAGTTAAGTGTAAGAATTGCTTTAATGTTGTAGCTGGTAAGGGTGGGGCTAATTGTAACTGTTAGTATCTTAATGAATATTCTTGTGACATCATTTATATGTTGATCATATTTTGTATTAATGATTTAAATCATCTGCAAAGTAACTAAAGCTGTCAAATAAATATAGTGGAGTAAAAGTTTGAAGTAGCATAGAAATGAACATGAATGTACTATTTCCACCAGTGACTGGTTGGCAGCATATAAAGACTTTTCTGTGTCACTGTGACAATATTGCCCTTCAAACGTTAGTACAAACTGTTTTCGCAGCAGTTCAAGCAGAGAAAAACTGTGCAAAAACATTTTCATACTGAGTCCATTGTTTCCACTGCACCCATCTATTTGGGGACTGGTTTAGACCTGGGAGTCCAGGTGAACACCATTAACCAGCTGATAACACAGAAATCCAGCAGTTGAGCCCCCGGGGGCAACTGGGCAAAAACACAACGTGCCCATTGTCCATAGTGAACTGTGTTAGTGAACAGCTGGCCTCAGGTGAGTGATGTTGAGGGTCACAGAAACAATCAGAAGTCCTTTTCAGAAGTTATGGCTTGAATTGTCTGATACCACACATCTCTGTACGATAAATACAACGGTTAGCTTAGCGTAGCATAAAGACTGGATATTGGCAAATGGCTCCGTCTACAGGTAACAAAATCCACCTACTGGTGTCTCTAAAGCAAATTAACACGTCATAATGTGCTCTTTTCCTTTCTATGCAAAAACCAAACTGTAGAAATTACCTTTGTCAGGGGTCATTATGTATCGGACTGTTTCTTGGCTCTGAGCAGCTGGAGCCAGTGGAGATGGAAGTTATGACACATTCGCCATACTTCTTCCACTAATGTGTTTTACATCACCAGTAATGATCTTTAGAAGAAGTAAAAGCCAATATATTAATCTAAAAATACTCCATTATATGAAAAAGTCCTAATTTGAAAGTTTTACATAGTAAAAGTGAGGAAAACTGCAAAAGTATTATGTACTGAAAAAACATTCGATAATTTTACCTCTTTGGGTCTCAAGCAGTTATTTAAATGAAACTATGAGAAAGGTTTAGAGGGGAAATGTTTCTTTTTTATTTAACAATGTGTGGAGAAAGTAACTAAAGCTGTCAGACAAATGAAGAGGTGTAAAAAGTAAAATATTTGCCTCTTTAATGAGTGGACATATAAAGTAGCATAAAACTGATCAAATCAAGCACCTCAATGTCCTTGTACTATCCTCCTCTGCATGGCTGGATTAATCTCCCAGAGGAGCCCAGGGTCAAAAATTTGATGTGACCACCACTGTACATGTCAGTTTATTAAACCCCCAGGTACCCAGAAACTAACCAGTACACTAAACATGAAATGAAAAGTTGATTAATTGATTAGTCGGTTGACAAAATAATAATAATAATAGTAGTAATAGTTTGAAGCAAAAATATATTTAAAAAATGACTGAACCCAGCTTCTTGAATGTGAATATTTGCTAGTAAACTGAATATGTGTTCGCTTGGACTTCAGGGAATAATGAGGTCATTTTCCACCATGGTCATTTTATACACTGAACAATCAATTAATTAATAATGAAAATAACTATCAGATGTATTGATAATGAAAAATAAGTCATGCTTGCAGCCTTACAGTAACTCTATGAAGTAATGATTCACACATTGACACAAAAATATACCAACAAAAACAAATTTGGGGCAAATTTCCATGACATTTGGGATTAATAACCACCCTGGGCAGTTGCCTGATTTGCCCAGTCGGTAACCTTTGTATACTGCATTATTTTTCTCATGTTTAAGTACATAAGTAGACCCCCTCTTTGATGTATGGGCGACATTTTCATATCTTTCCACTGTAGCTTTCCTGTAAATCTACTCATTCTCATATACATAGTGGTTCTCTGTCATTCTCGACAATGTGCTGTGTTATCTTTAAACGCCCCACATTCCAGCGGACCATAAACGTCACACGGGGCGGTGCTGCGTTCACTTCCCCCTCCCCCAAAACCACGAGGCTCCGGTGTTGACAGGCCAATCACCGCCCACAGGCACCCAGCGTTCAGCCCGGCTTCACCACTTCACCACCGGACAAAGGCCCGTCTCTCCACCTGTAATATTTGTTAACACCCACTGGTAAGAAAGTAAAAACCACCGCCTGGAAGCAGAGTCGTTAGTTAAGAGAGCTCCCGTTTTTAAAAGCTTTTTATTCGGGTCTCAAGTGGCTCACAAAGGACGGACGGCCGTACGGGAATTCCGCCCTCGCGGAGCTAACCGGACAGACCCCGCCTTCTCTTAATTTGTCAACAAAGGGGTTTGACAAGCTCGGAGAAGCCCTGCCTCCATGTTCCCATAAAAGGATGATTTGGTCATACACGGCCAACAATCAAGCCGTGAGTAACCGTTTTCCCTTCCCTATCCCGTTCATATGGTGCGTTGACTTCCTCCGTCGCCGTTAAAGCGGAGCTATCATGGCGGAGCGCGTACAGCAGCCCCCAGCCAAGCGGCTCTGCTGTAGACCGGGCTACAATGCAACATGTAGGCAAGGCCAGCGGGCCGTGTGGGCGCCGTGCGGCGGCTCGGCAGCCACCCAGGGCGAGTCGAGCAAAACCCAGAGCCCGGAGTCTCTCCTGGACATCGCGGCGAGGAAAGTCGCGGAGAAGTGGCCGTTTCAAAGGGTAGAGGAGCGTTTCGAGCGGATCCCGGAGCCCGTTCAGAGACGGATCGTGTACTGGTCTTTCCCGAGGAGCGAACGGGAGATCTGTATGTACTCGTCGTTCAACACAGGCGGGGAGGAGATCGGGAGTAGCGCGGAGAGCGGCGACGACACGCGGCTGCCATTCCGACGGGGCATCGGTCTGCTGGAGAGCGGCTGCGTGGACAACGTACTGCAAGTCGGTGAGTGATGTGATGGGACCGGGCATACCGAGAACAAATACCACCGGTTAATCACCCAGAAAGCAACAACACGGCCTGTATTAAATATATTTTTGTAGAATAACGTAGGAAGATAATGTGACAGGCTTTTGACAACAAAGGGTGAAGCGGTCAGGCGACAGACACACAGAGAGGCTACAATGGGGCTTTAAATCTGTTGGGTGCATGAATGGGAATGTGTGACTGGGGCATTTAAATCCTGTTTTGCTCGGGGGCAGTTTGAATGTGAAATGCAAGGCAACTACAAAGCCTCAAAATCCACTAATTGCGGCGAAAATCAAGCTGTGGCTTTAACAAAAACTGGATTCCCCACATCTCAACCCCACCAGACTCCGCTGAGAAACGTTAACAGAATAAAGATAAATACCCATATCTACTTTCTACTGCTGGTTTAGAGGCAATAATGTAAAATATAGTTATGTCAATGTGACACAAAAGCCCAAAAGATTTTCTCAGTTGGTGTGGGGTCAGGTCAGACTGCTATAGCATCAGAAATCACCTAAAACGACTTCATTGATTGAGTTTAATTAGCTTAAAATAACCATTTTAGAGACATTAAAGCTCTTTTTTAAATTTAATCTCACAATTTCTTGCTAGATTTGTTCACATTTAACACATTCAGGAGCTTTAAAATCTGTTTGAAATGATTGCATAGAACTATTGAGTAATAAGGGAAGTGCTCAGTGCTGGGTTGGGTCTCAACTGACACACATTACATCTGAATGAGTTGTTCAGCGTGGCACAGTTGAGATGCTGATGAGTAATAATTGTGTGTGTGAGATCAGCAGATGCAATGTGCTTTACTGTTGTGCAAAGAGAAGCTATAAAATGTGATCCACCTGGGGGGGGGGGGGGGGGGGGGGGGGGCGGGGGGGGGGGGGGGGGGTATATTGTTGTATATTTAGATCTAGTGGAGTGACAGTGTGTTTTTAGTGCAGCAAAACCAATACAGAAGTGAACGTGCTTTTTCTGAGGGCAAAAATGAGAACAGACCAGCAGACTTACCGTATCTGCTTGTTTATTAACCCACTGTGAGTGAAACAGGAACAGACACCTGTGCGCCAAGTTGACAGTCGCTCGTGCATGACAACTTTTCTCCACCAGCAACGTGGATCAGTGACTCTGCAACATTTGAATTTATGTCATTTAGTTGCTTTTCCTTCCTATTTTTACGTGCTAGAAAGAGCGCAGCCCTCTTTGAGATTTTAATCACCCAGCACACATATCAAATACCCAGCATTCCTATTGTGAGCTCGGCACTTTGTTCCTATTTTCATGTTCATTTGTGTCTTTCAAGCTTCCTGTTGCTTCCAAAAGGAAGGCAAACAAAAGCAGCTTTTCACTCCCTTGTTAAGTAGAGGAGATTTGGAAGGAGGAAGCGTATTGAGCCACAACGATTCTTTTAAATGGGCCACGATTCACACCAGTCTACAGCCAATTGGTTCAGGGTTTTTTTTTTTGTGCGTGTATCAATAATTGGGGGGTGGGGGGGGGCGAAGACGAAGAAGAGAGAGAAGCAGACGTGGTGCTGAATTGGAGAGATAGCTCACTTTAATGAAGACAGTCATCGGGTTTACAGCCTTCATTGCACGGTCAGCTGGGAGACTTTGATTGTGTTGCATTCTGTCACCTGTGAGTTCAGCAGCCTCGGGACACCTTCCCGGAGAGGACTGTAATCCCATTACTCTGCATGGTTAATTTGAATTGTAATGCAATCTGAACACTTGAGTTTCTGCATGAGCCGTCCCCCTTTTCCACCCCTCTCACTTTTAAATGCAGGAGGTTCATGTGGGCTTTGTGTACTCACTGAAGGGCTCGCAGGGAATACACACACACACACACACAACACACACTAAACCTCTGTCCTGCCAAAGCGAGAGGCCTACATATTCCCACATATTTGGAAATGTTTCTATAGGGAAGAAACTGAATCTGGGTTGTTATTCCACACAGTGAGGGGGGGTGGTGGCTCTTGATATGCATGCTCACAAAGAGGAATAACAGTGGTGCGCGCACACACACACACACACACACACACAGGGAGGGTTTCTTGGCTGATTGCACCCCAGCCTGGAATTTGCTGGAAAAATAAGAGCCAAGAAGTGATAAATAAAAGATGTAATCTCCCCACGTGTGGGCTGTACCAGAGTAGGGAGGTTTTCTCACAGCAGACCTGGAGGAAATGAATTGGCACACATTTGCTGTGTGGACCCTCCACAACAAACCCTCACTGTTAATCAGTGCACAGATAAAGGAAGCCATATTTTTTTCTTACAAGAGAAAATACTGCAGCTTCTTGAGTTTAGACTTGAGGGCTTCTTTATTCCCCAGGTTGAAGCCAATATTGTAGGTTGTGGTGATGTTATTGAGCTGCGAGCCGGACCAAGCTTTTCACCAAAGAAATAACTAAAGTGTGCTGCTGCTGCTGCTCCAAATATACTCTCGGCTGCAGGCGATTTAATGCCAAACAATAACAAAAGTGTCTAGAGCTGCAGAAATTAGTCGATTAGTCGGCTTTTAAGTAATTTTTAAACTAAAAATCTCAATAATTTGATGTTTCTAGCGTCTTAAATATAATAATTATTATAATTAGCTTCTTTTTTCATCTTACATGATAGTAGACTGAATATTTTGGTGTTTTGGACAAAAAAGCAATTCAAAAATGAACATTTTTCACCATTTTCTGTTTTATGGTCCAAGCTTCTATCAGTAAATCATGGAAAAATCTTTATCGATAATGAAGAGCCATTAGTCACAGCCCAAACAATAGTCTAAAAGTGCTTGTTTCTGCTTGTTAATGTCATGCACCAACTCAAAAATCAAACATTAAAGAGACAGAAAAAAATGCAAATGCTTTTTTTTTTGCAGTTTTAACGACCGCTGCAGAGGTTTAAAGAGTATTTATTCCTTCATAAGTGGTCATTAATTGTTGCTATGGTTGCCATCAGAGGTTTAATTGGCTTTAAAATTCAACAGAGCTTCTAATTGAAAGTAGGAAAGTCACAGTCAAGGCCCTTACACATAAAAATTAAAGACTTTTACTGATTAATGGATAAAGTAAAATGAAAATTTTGCTGTTTAAAATGCTGAAGCAGACTGATGTGTGAACTTAGAGGTCAATACAAGTCAAAATGAGAACATATCAGTAAAAAAAAAAAAAAAAGGAAGTGTTTTACAGTGTCCAGGCGAAGTAGATCTTCACTAAACAAAGCAGAGACAGTAGGCACCATATTGAAACCAATTCAACATCCTCCATGAGCTTTTTAAACCCACAGAGGAAGACCAGCTCCTCTGGTGTGAAGTGAGTTTCATGCAGAGAAGCAGCAGCTTTCATTGAACTGCACTCGGGTCAGAAAGCACAAATACATCCTGTGTGCAGACAGTAACTGGTGCTAAGACAAACCAAAAAAAACAATCTACAGGGCACTAAAACGGAGCGTATTATAATCGTTTTAATACAATAATAAGAGCATAGCAGTATTAAACCAACATGACACTGTGTCTGAGATACAAAGAAATGTCCAGCCATGAAAAAAGTGTGACTTTCCCCCTAAACAAACCCACTCTCATGTTATAAACAGTTGAGCCTGGGGCCTGAAGCTAAAACCGTCATATTGAAACGACACAGTACATGTTTCAGATTTCATTTATCACAGTTTTAATTGACATTGGTTTGTAATTCAGAGCAGTCAGAAGCATCAACTTGTGTCCTTTCATCACAAAGATACGATGATGGCAGCATTTGTATCATTCACAGGTGTTACTGCAGCAACTAACATTTACGTTCTCTATCGATTCGTCAGCTGATTATTTTCTCAATTAACTGTTTGTTCTATAAAAGACCAGAGAGTAGTGAAGAACCCAATGCTGATGTTTCAAAATCTCCTTAATTATTGATTTACTTTCACATTCAAGTCAAAGAAAAACAGCAAATCCTCAAAATTAAGAAACAGAAACTCGGGATGTTTTGATATTTTTGCTTGAAAAATGGCTCAGACGTTTATTAATTGTTTGATCAACCAATGGACACACTCATTGTTTCTAAATAGACTTTTATCAGTCATGTATCTCAGGTCCTGTTTTGTTGTTATGTGGCCATATGACTCTTTGGTTCTCTCTGTAAAAGAGATCATGCTGGTGATGATGATGATGCTAAATGAAAAGCCACAGGATCACCAAAGATTTTCCAGTCCGTCCCTCAGGGGATCATGAATGTCTGTACCACATTTCGTTGCGGTCCATCCAGTGGTTGTTGAGATATTTTACTCAAAACCACAAACGTGAACCTGACAGTGGCACAAGAGGAAAACTCAGGGATCACCGGAGTTGTTGGGATTCATCCTCTGGGGAACGTGAATGTTTGTACAAATAAAATGAAATAGTTGTTGAAATATTTCCGCTGATCCTCCCTCAGAGCCATCTTTCCAGCATGGCTAAAAACAGCATTTCATAATAAGATTTCCTGGATGTAAGACAAGATTCTAGCTTTGTGGTCAGTATTAGAGGCCTGACTGCTTATTCATGAGAATTTCTGAAATTTTACTTTAACTGTGGCACCAAAGAGGCCAAGAACTGCTCTCTGTCTCCGTCCTCCAGGACTGCTGCCTCTTGAATATTGAAGGTTTCGTCCTAAAACATGACGTGGACATGGAACAGCCCGTCTCACTTCATACATATCAGTGCAGTGGGGACGTTGATGTATAGGTTTGAGCTGAAGTATAGGCTGCGGTGACTTGTTGAAGTATAGGCTTGCAGTGTTTATGTGTACGCTGAGCACGGTTATTTCAGTTCAGAGAAGCTCAGTCAAAACAACTTCAAAATGGAGGGACTAAAAAAAAATAATCAAAGATGTAAACGAACGTACACCGTCTTGTTTACCTGAGCTAAGAAATACATGGTTTCTATATATGGCGGGAAAACATATGCTGTAATGTGTTTGTCACTCATGCTACCCGGTTATT